AGAAACGCAAGGCCACCCAGCTCCCAGCCTGCCTGGTTTCAGCAGGCAGCGGGGCACTCTCCTCACAGCGCCAAGAGCTCAGCTGGGTGGCGCAAATCTGATGAGAAGTGCAATGCTGCCTAGCCTACAGCCTGCCCAGTTTCAGCAGGCAACAAGGTACAAAGTTGCTGAGCTTCGCACCGCTCGGCTCAACCTCTCAGCACTGTGAGGAGAGCGCCCTGCTGCCTGCCGAAATCACGCCCACCCAGTAGGCCACACCCACTCCATTCACGCCCACCCAGTAGGCCATACCCACCCTGGCCACACCCACCCGACCCTCCGAGGGCAACCACAATGGTGATGTGGCCCTCAATGAAATTGAGTTTGACACCCCTGATCTAGACAGTCATGAGATAGCAGCAGAGAAATAGAGTTCTTCAATGAATCATAACTGGTTAGGTTTATACAGTTTGCTAAGCCATAACATATGTAAAATAATAACTGAGCTTGGAATATACACGAAAAACCCATTATGATACAGTGTTGTGTGATACTTTATTCTAAAATATTCCAAACTATCTAAAGGTTTTTCCTATAAATTCATACAAAGAAACGTATTAATTCTTAAAAATTTATATGGCTGGTGCTGGGCTAAAGATTTTGAAATGCAAATATGCTCATTTAACTTCTGATACATGCTGCCTTGACTGGTTTCACTCGTGATATTAACCATAATTTATCATTGGTTTCTTACTGCAAGGCAATATATTAAGTTTTTGGAGACTAGTCATCTGACAAAAAATACAAAAATAATAGAGAAAACCAGTAGGACATATTCATAATAAATTACTACCTCTGAACAAACCATAACTGTGTGTGCATAACTGGTTGGCAAATCCTAGCTTTGTTTGCATAGTATAAGTCAAATCAAACTACATTATAACTGAGCCATAATATAATGGGCTTCCTTGTAAGAAAAGGCTACTGGAACAGGAGGCCAGGAGGCAATCCTGCAAGCCACTGTCTGTGTTCTTTTGACTGGCCCAAAATCACCCAGCAGCTTCCATGCCTAAAATTAAAACTCACAATCTAATCCAGCAGTTACTACATCACTCTGGCTTTCAATGATATACTGTATATCTTGTCAATTATATATCATTGCCCCTTAATTTATAATGAATTATATAGGTACAATCCTTTCATGGTTAGGAAAGTTAATTTCAGTGGAAATATCTACTTAAGGCTGCATACTTCGTAGAGAGTATCCTCTATTGAAATTAATTTGGCAAATTATTTTACCTACATAATGTCTCTTTTGATATTTTGTTTTAATATTATCCTATCTAATTTTTTAATGGAAACTGGTATTTGTCATGTATCATGTTCTGCTATAAGACTATAAGAGACATTTTTAGAAATTAAAAGTGTTCAACATCCTAAATATAGCAGAACAAAGATAAGTGGCTTTAGCTGCCTCTGTGATTAGTCAACTCCTACTCCCTGGATTAATCCGAGGACCAGTTGCTAAACTACATGTGTTGAATATAAATAAAACCAATAGATTTCCTGTGGCCATTGAGGAAGGGGCTAAATGCATTTTTAAATCTATTTCTTGATTTTGGAACAGGAAATTCACAGAATAGATGCAGAGAGAAAGCTAAGGTCTGTTTTCACATACAATAGATATTCATTCACTTTGAGCGTCAGACTGCAGGCTGCTATAATCATGCTTCTATTAAAAATTTTTTAAAAATTTTCTATAATCATGCTTCTAAAATAAGTATAGTTTTTCTTTTTATTTTGAATACTTATCTGAATCACTACCTTGTTCTTGTGTTGTTCCTTCATATAAGGTTTCAGATAAAAAGTTTTTCTGTCAAAATAAAAGTTGAGTTTCCAGATTTACAATCCATTCCCATACCCCTGACCTTTTTTTTTAAAGAATACTTTACAGCAGAGTTTTTTGGTCTCAAGCACTTTAAGATGTGTGAACTTCAACTCCTGGAAAACTTTAACTAGCACTCTGAAGTTAGTGGAGAAATATCGCTTTATAGTATCATATAACATATTAAATGCAAAGTGATTAATTCATCCAAGCAGACATTGTTTTATCACCATACTCAATAAGAGTATAGGTATCTCTCTGTGGATCATCATATCCCTTCCAAATGTGGGTTGAACAGAATTGTCTCCTTTGGGATGAGAAATTTAATGAGAAAGAAAATAGTTGGTCACAAAGTATTCACAAGTGAATCAGCTTCTAGGATCCTATTAATTTAAATAAGATGATAACTAAGGAAAGTGAAATAATAACTTTCCTCAGATTGGTTTCTTCCATAGATGTCCCCCAATTCTATGTGAACAATGTAGGATGTAGGATGATGCTGCACATCTACATTTGGAGATCTACAGGACAGTGCTATAAGTAAAGGGCACCAGACAGGCACAAAATGAAGGTACAAGTATCAATAAATTTAGAGGAATGTGAACTGGGGAGAAATTTAAAAAAATAAACATTAGAAACAGTCCAATGAAGACAGTGATTCTGGCTTCCAAGGCCAAAATTGCTGTCTCATTCCAAGCAGCAACTAAAGCCTTAACCAAACCACACATTAGAGTCCTAGGAACACTCCAAAGTTCCACCTGAAACCTGATAGGATCCGTCAGGTATCTGAGGTGGACATGTGGGGAACAAATAACTCCAGAGGGAACTGTCAACGCTGTGACAATGGATGTTCCCACTCTGACAACTAAGGGAAATTGCAACCATTTTTACTCTGCTTTCAACGTGCTTTTTTTGCTGCTTAGGAATCAGATGTAGAAGGGAAAGATGGGGTGAATGCTTGAGCTTAGCTAGCCACAATAATAATGTAACTCAGTGGGAACTCAAGGACACAAACTAATAATGTTTTGGCAGCCTGAGAAGCTGGAGAGGGAGTCCTCACTTCAGGCTAATTGAGAATGTGATTTATGACTGCTTCCAGGGGATGGAAATTGCAACTTGTTACTTTGTATCTGGAGGAAGGGAATTTAGTTTGGGGTTCAACTATGTAGTGTTGATACTTTGTTTCCTAAATAAAATGTTCCGTGGAAAATCAGCCCCCAGAGAAGGAAATACTAAAAGGACAGAAAAATATATTCCCTCAAAGGATTTTAAAGAGGCAGAAAAGCATGCCCAGTTTTCTTAATAGCCCCAAATCTCCCTCCCCCAAGCAGAAACCAGCTCTGTAGAAATGGAGATGTAAAACATTCAGGAAGGTTGGCGGCCCCCAGCTAGAAGCTTAGGAAGACAAAGACACCTAAAATCTACATACCCCATCCAAACTCTAAGACAGGACATAATAGGATTAACCCATAGATGCCAAAGGGGCACACTCAGACTAAAGTCAAAATACATGACACAGGAAATACAAAGCCTCAAACAGGAACAGGAAACAACTCCAAACAAAAGCCCAAGAGGGTAGAAAAACCCACTCCCTACATGTGCTCTCTCTCTTTTCTTCCAAAGCCATCTTTCTGTCTGGCTCTCCTCTTCAATAAACTGCAACCTTCTTTCTAAAGCAGTCGCTGTTAAGTCCTTAGCGAAATGGCAAATAACGCAAGAAGCAGTCGCAGTTCTCAGGAGCCTCTTTATTAGTGTACAGCATACTGGTTACAAGACGCCGACAACGCCCCAATCCCTCTGCTCCTTTTAAAGGCGATCCCCGGGCCAAACGGCAACATTTGGCGCGCTTGCACTTCGCGCATGCGCGCGAGTGCTGGCGACAGCCAGTCTGGTCCCGGGCAGCTTGCACCTGCCCGGGACCGTTGCAACGTCCCGAGCCTGCCTTCACAGGCTCAGGACATAACAGTCGCCATGTTGTTTATTCCCAGCTTGGACTGAACCACGATGAAGACTTTTCCTTCAACAATTCTTTAAGGAAGAATTCTTGCCTTGAAGTTCTTTAATGGGATTCATCTATCAGAACCATGACAGTGATATAATAACTTTCCTCAGCGTGATTTTTTCCATAGATGTCCCTATTCATGCTCAATTCTATGTGAACAATGTAGGATGTAGGATGATGCTGTACATCTACATTTGGAGATCTACAGGACAGTGCTGTAAGTAAAGGGCAGCAGACATGCACAAAATGAAAGTACACGTATCAATAAATTTAGAGGAATGTGAACTGGGGAGAAATTAAAAAAAATAAACATTAGAAACAGTCCAATGAAGACAGCGATCCAGGCTTCCAAGGCCAAAATTGCTGTCTCATTCCAAGCAGCAACTAAAGCCTTAATCAAACCACACATTAGAGTCCTAGGAACACTCCAAAGTTCCATCTGAAACCTGATAGGATCCGTCAGGTACCTGGGGTGGACCTGTGGGGAACAAATAACTCCAGAAGGAACAAGGAATTATTGGTCTACGGCAAAGAACTAATGGGAATAGCCACCAATTCCTGATCACAGCACTATTGCCATGAGGTGTTTGTTTGTTTGTTTAATTTATTTAGCAAGCTAGCTGATGCCGTGCACAAAACCGATCTGGGCACAGCTAGATTTTGTTAACCTAGACAAGATCAGCCCTCTGATTCACAGTTACATTGCGAATCAAGTTTTATTGAAGGCTGACTGTGTATTTAAGCAGCAGATCTGAAAACCAGGGTCTCTGGAATGCTGATGGCCAGCCCTTGGGGTATACAATAAGTGGCTGGAAACATCAAGGTCACTTTCCTTGAGAACCACCCAGCCTCAGTTTCCTGCCATATCTCCTCTATCTGCCACTACTAATAACCTGGCTTCTGCTTCTCCTCCAGCCACCTCAGTCTCCCACTCCAACAACTACACATCACACCAAAAGAAAGCTGACACCAGCCTCAGGCATGCTTCTGTCTCACACTCAGCACTTCTTTACCTAGGCACTAGATAACCCACTCACATCCACCCACTGCCTCTCACTCAGGTGGAGGGAACAAGCCAAAGAAGAAAGGTTACCCACAATCCACTGCTACAATCCCTGCTCTTACCCAGGAGGAAAGGAGCATCCCAAGGTAACAATCTCCCTTCAATCATAATGTTGCCTAGAATTTGCACAATCCATTCTTTTACATTTTCAGGAAATATATCTTACAGTTTACATAGGACTCTTAAGTGATATGAGAGCCTAAAGTCGGCAGATCAAAAGTCTGGAATTATACTGCACAGTCTGATTTTTTAAAAGTCTCCCCTCTATTCACAAAAAGTAGCTGTATTTCTGTCTCCTTCCTGACATCTTATGGAATACAATCATGAGAGAAATTTGGGCATATATGTGAGAAAAAAATATATGGAGTAGGGAGAGAGAATGGAGAGAAAAGAAACAAAGTTTACGTGTCACTGTGTTGTGGACATTGCAGCAAGGTTCGTTATCTTCCTTAGGCTATTTTAATGGCCACCCGATTTTTCCACTTGATGGACCTTTGATTTCTCTGCTTTCTTATCTTTCTTTGATCTTCATACTAGGCCTGGTGGGACAATACTTCAGAATTGCTTTGAAGTAGAAGGCTAACCTCTGGCCATCAACAGTAACAAGATAACTATAGAAGCTGGCAGGAACTGCCCAACATTGTTCTTGAATAGGAGATCTCCAGAAAATATATGTATTTTTTATGCTGGATTGGAAAGCTGGAAACTGTACCAGAAGAAGACAATGGCAAGCAACATTTGTAAGAATACAAAGAAAACTGTGAACCTGAAGTCATCAAAAATCAAACTCATCTTGAAAGGTGAGTTAGCTAAACTATACTTTATGCACAAGTGCTTCTTATTGCAAATACAAGGATACTTGGACAATTTATTAAAAAAAAGTTTTCCCATTTTACTGACCAAATGCTCTTAATGTCCAGGGGCCAGTAGAAATTTATCTGACAGCTGAATCTCAGAAGCAGGAACATTTGCTAGCATATGAACATTGCAGAGGCTTCTTTTAGTGCTCTTCAATTTTTGTACAGTGCAGGAGGGCAGCATGAACAATTCCTTAATATTTGATTATGTGCCATCCAGTCATTTTTGACTCCTAGCAACCACATAGATAGATTTTCTCCATGACGATTTATCCCTAGCCTGTTTTTTGAGTTCCCCTTGTGTGTGTGTGCTATTCATGGCATAAATATATGCATGGTTCAGAGGAGGGAGATTTTTGTTTGTTTGTTCAAACCTATGAAACTAATGCTAGCAATTATATTTCCTTCCACTACAAATATGCCAATCAGTGCCGCTTCCCTCTTTTTTTTGCCTAGTATTTCTCTACAGAAGATCAACTGAAAAAAACAACAACCATTTTTTTTGCCCTGGATTTAGTCTATCAAAGATCAACCAGCGAGTGCTGAAAACAGAGAAACTAAGGTATGAATGACCTATCTTACAGAAAATACCACTGCTCCAGTTACAGATCTCTGGTTCCTTCCTCCTCTCTTGTTCACTCAAGTTGCCTGTTGTTCTTCTTCAAGGCTAAAGTCCAAGGAAGCTCTTAGCTAATTACTTGACAAAGAGCTCTTTGTGATGGGTTCCTCTGGGGAAATCTGATTCTCTTCTCCCATCTGTAGAAGCTGACAAGGATCTGAAGTGCAGGAGTGTAGGTCTCCATTCCCTTTCTGTGGACTTTGCAAGTGCACAGCAAGAATAATTTCTGCTGCAGGCCTCTTAGAAATGTATCTCTTGTTTATAACTGCTCTTTTCTGTTCGGTTCATGGGGCTGATACGTCCAAGATTTGCCCCCATCTATGCTTCTGCTATGAATCCTCCAGTTTCGTGGACTGTCACAATCGGCACTTGGCCCATGTTCCTCATGGCATCCCTCACAGTACATGGATGCTGAACTTGAGACACAACAACTTGAGTGGGCTAGAGGTAGGCTGCTTTGATGCTTTGTGGTCTTTGAAGATTCTTCTTCTGTCCCACAATTCCATTGCAAAGATTTGGCCCCAAACATTCATGTCCCTGAGTTTCCTGGAGAAGATGGATCTCAGCCACAACCTGCTTGCTCGCTTACCACATGACTTCTCAAATGAGTTGATTTCCCTGAAGGATCTCAAGGTGGCCCACAACTATTTGATAGCTTTGGGGTTTGAAAGCTTGCAGTATATGGAGAACCTCGAGAAGTTGGACTTGAGCCACAATTTGGTCACTTCGATTGAGAGAGGAACTTTCCGAGGACTCTCCAGGCTCCGACATCTCTACCTTCAGTCTAACAGGCTTGCAGTGATCTATAATGGCTTCTTTTTTATGCTCCAGAACCTGGAAGTTCTTTTGCTTAACAGCAACAACATCAGTTTCATTGAGGTAGAAGCTTTCACTTCATTACACAACATGAATTTTCTGGCTTTGACTGGCAACCGGCTCATCCACCTAAAATTTAAGACTTTTCTGAATATCCAAACAGTCAGCACCCACATCCAGCTGGCTGGTAACCCATGGGCCTGCGACTGTGACCTCCAAAGGGTTTTTGGCAAAATCATGAGTGTTCGGCATCTTCATGTGGATGATTATGAGAACCTCACCTGTTTCAGTCCTTGGCAATTAGCTGGCTCACCGCTTGTTTCTGTGGACAGTCAGCTGTGCATGGCAGAGACAGCCACCGTCTTGGTGATCACAGTTACTGTCCTGGTGACAGTGATCGCTGCCATTGTGATGGCAGAAAGGAACAGGAAGAAGAACCAGGAGAAGAACTGGAATGAATTGGAAGGGCCTTTTGACCCACAGGAGAAATAAGACAAGGACAAGAAATAGTCTTTTGGTGTTTTTCAAATGTTGTTTCACTATAATGCTTTAAACCTGATCTATAATTCCAAACTCTGCTTGGTTTTTTTTTTTTTTAGTCTCAACTTGGCATCTTCCAGATGTGCTAGAATTGCTTATGGATCCATGGGCATCCACAGCAGGGACAAGTGATGTCATGTGCACTATGACATCATTGCAGAAATGATGCAAATCATGTAATTCGCATCAGTCATGTTGTGCATATTACATAATGCTCTTTGTGCTATCTGTTTATGTATTTATTTGATTTATATTCTGCCTTTCATTCAAGCTGGCAAAGATAGTGCTCCCTCCTATTTTTCCCCACAACAATAATCCTATGCATTAGATTGAGCTGAATGGGAGAACAGCCAGCCGAAAGACACCCCAGAGCAGGGGTGTCAAACTGCCGGTCTACGAGCCAGTTGCATCATGCAGAGGCTGCGCCCACCCAGCTCCGGCAATGCAAAAAAAGTCACAATATATTGCGACACATCACGTGACGTGGCAAATTTGACACCTGTACCCTATAGAGGATGGCTTTGAAAGGCAGGAGGAAGATCCTCCACCAAGGCAGCAATTGGACAAGTGGGGCTTGAGTTCATTCCCAAAAACTAATTTGAGAATACGAACCTCTTTCTGATTTACATGAAGATAAATGAGAGAGAGGGAAGCACATGCAGACTTGCAAGATTCTGTTGCTATTGCTGTTCCAATGAAAGTAGTTTTAAACCTATGGAGAATTGGTTTCTTGGTCCGGTCTACCTTATAGGGCTCTCACCTAGAGATCTTCCCTGATGAAGGTGGAGTAGAGCCTGGGTTTGTTTTCTTTCACACCTTCTCTAGTGTATCACCCTGGTTCTCTAGTGTATCACCCTGGTTCTCTGTGATGAAAATTGTGCTAATATAATGCATATCATGTCATCGTGGCTTATACTGAATACTACTTGGTTTTGGATTCAACGAACAAATGAACGAATGAATGAATGAATCACATAAAACGTTTTATTAATTATGGAACTACTTGGATAGAGGGAGGCTTACAACAATTATTTGTGCACTGGCAACCTCTGATTGAGAATTCAGCAATAATGTAAGTATGTGGAGCTGTTTTGAGAATATTCTCAGCTACCAACTGTGTTGGGGAAAGGATAGATAATATCAACCATTTTTAGTCTGCAGTCGCTTGACACTAGTGCTTTGCAACTAGCACTGCTGGCCCCTGCCACATTTCCCCTCCCAAGCCAAATTCAAAGTGTTGCTTTACCTTCAAAGCATTCTAGGGCTTAGGACCAGGTTGTCTGACGAAACGTCTCTTCCCCTGTTTGCTTACCAGGGCCTTTCTGCTATTATGGAAGATCTCCAGAAGGTGCCCATTTAAAGATATGAAATGAGCGGCACCTAGTGGGGAAAGAGAGTCAGTGCAAGGTTAAGGTAGCAGAGTAGAGAGACCTAGTTTCTAATCTTCCCTCAGCCACTGAAGCCTTTCAGATGACTTTGGCCTGGTCACTTCAGGCAGCTCCCTTCAAAGGATTGTTGTAGTATTAAAAATAGGAAGAAATGTTATGTATGTTACCTTGAGCTCTTGATAGTGTTGAAAGTCAGCACCTCACCCACCCTCCTAGAGAAGGAAATATTTGGGGGGGGGGATATTAAAAAAGGCAGAATGTTATATTTCCTCAAAGGATCTTAAAGGCAGAAAAGCAGGCCCAGTTTTCTTAATAGCCCCAAGCAGAAACTAGGCAGAGGCCAGGTCTGTGGAAATGCAGATTTGATAATCCTATTCAGAAAGGTTGGAGCCAGGAAGCTAGAAGCTTATGGGATTAGGAAGACAAAGACCCTTAAAATCTATATACCCCACCCAAACTCTAAAGACATGACCTTTAGGACATAATAGGATTAACCCACCAATACCAAAAAGGACACACTCAAAAGCTCAGGTCAAAGTTTATGCCACAGGAACAGGAACTCCAAACACAAAAGCCCCAGAAGGTATAAAAACCCACCACTCCCAGCTACATATGGTCGGCTTTCCTAGAGCCACATTTCTGTCTGGTTCTGCTCTTCAATAAACTGCAACCTTCTTTCTAAAGCAGTCTCCATTTTGTTTATTCCCAGACTGGACCCTGATGAAGATTTTTCTTTCAACAATAGTATCATGATAGTTCTCATAATCAGCTTTTTTCCCCTCTAGATCAGTTATTCCCGGTATATTTTGGAACATTAGTCCAACATATGTGAAGAGCAACAAGTTGAGAAATTTTGACTGGGAGCTAATGATATATTATTATTTAGCTCCTGATATGAACACACCAGCATCTATTTGATCTTCCCTAATGTAGGGTAGGCTAGGAAGTCCAGTGTCACCTGGCAAATTGGGAGCCAAACATGGTCTTGGGATATATACTTTCCATTGCCGGACCCATGGCTAAAGTGAACACAAAAAATATAACACAGATGACACAGAGCTTTTCTTGTACCTACCTTGGCAACAGGTTCTAAGTCTGCCTTGCTAAGCTTCCCCATCTGTTTCACAGGGCCCAAAGGGAGCCCCTGCTTGCCTTCTCCCATCTCTTCCATCACTGCAAAACACTGACCATACCCTGAAGCTGCATTTTATTTTCAGCATTTCACTGATCAGAAGCATTATGTTTCTGAAAACCTCAATTTTCATTTCCAATCATCTTTTGAAGGAAATTGGAACTGAAGAGGCACTCAAGCTCTCTCTGCTGATAATTGGAATCTGTAAATATACAAAAAGTCAGTGACCCTGGTTTCTGAAATTAAATGCAGAATGTATTCTAAATTGTGCTAGCTAGAAGATGTACTTCAGGGACCGTGTGATGGAAACTGGAAGGGTTTGATTGAAGGGATGACAAACACTGGCCAAGTTACAGAAGGAACATTTCTACAGATTTTCTTATTAAAACCAACATTTCAAAAGGTTGTTTTTGGTTTTGCAAACTTGGCAACTTTAAAATGTATGGGCTTCAACTCTCAGATTTCCCCAAACACCTTTGCTGGCCAAGGAATTCTTAGAGTTGAGGCCCATCTTAAAATTGCTATGTTTGAAAAACTTTTATTTAGTGTGTAGAGTATACCCAACCAGTTATGAACTCTTAATTATGAAATAAATCATAGTATAACTACTATGGCTTAGTATATTATAAGAACCCAGCTAATGTCTATGAAATCTGGACAAAAACTGCAGAACAAGCCCTGATCCATAGAGTCTTAGCTAGCATATACGTGTCTCTTCCAAGGCTGGCAGATAAAGAAATCTGGATAGAGGCTTTGCTTGTTGATATGTATAGAAACTCTGCAAAGGTGTAGATTTTCTCCATGATGATGTCTCTTAACTGTGCATCCATTGTCACTGTAAGTGAATTCATCCATCTTGTAGCTGGTCGTCTTCTATTTCCTTCCACCTTTCCCAGCAGTAATAGATCTCTCCAATGGGCTAGGTTTTGCATACTGTGGCCAAAGTACAAACTGAGACCTTGAGCAAGAGGAAGTATCCTTACCTAAGGAATAATCCAGTTCAAATTTCACTGAAACTGAAACCTCAGAAAGGACAGCAAGAGTCTTGACAAAGGTCTCCCCCAGCTAATATCTGGGCAGCAGACTAAGCAGGAGGGCCATAGATCACAACTGTGTTTTCCCAGAAAACTGGTTCTGCCCAGTGTATAATGCCCAATAAAACTACACATCAAAATGGAGATTTGCAAAAGCTTTATTCTGCGCAAAAGAAAGGACACAGAGGGATCACCCCCATTAGGCCTGTGCAAAGGCCAGTCTGTCAGCAGTACAGTTTTTGTACATATTTCTCCAAAAACCCTCCTTAAGACAACCCCTCTTAAGTCATCTTATTGCCTTATAAATGTTTACCAACATTGCTTAACTTGCATTTGTATTATCTAGCAACAATCAGCACATTTGCCCCTAATTTCCAGTAACAATGCCATAATTAGTACATTCCACACTATGCCATAATTAGTACATTGCCCCCCTTAAGCTCTTCCTTTCACAAGTCAGTGCCTTTCACATGTCTGCAAAACATACATACATACATATATATATGTATATATATATATAATCAACATAATCATCTATTCCCTATATTTGTAACCTTCAGATTCCCTGTTCATGCAGTCACCTTGTTCCATGACTACATTAAGAACAAACATGTTCTGAGATTTTTATTAATTAAGCTGTTTCCATTACTTCTTATGCACTAGCAACTAACTGGAAAATGTTTGCAAATAATTTCCTATACGGTTTTTAAGGGAGGCGGTCTTACGGCCTTTCCTTCAAATGGCCAATCATTCATTGTGCCAAACTGAAGACAAAATTAAAACTTGATTAGGGTGGCTGAATTGGAAAAACAAAAACATTCCAAATTCCCAATGCTAGGCATAAAAGACAAATTTCTACCCAGAAGCTTCCAGACTTCTTTGTCAGCTTCCTTGACCACATTAATTCTAATGCTTGCTTCTGAAGCAATATTATCAAATGTTATTAACACTTATCAGCATCACAATTACTTAAAACACTGTGAAAAACAAGGATCATTCTGAAAGAACATTTCAGTTGAGTAGAGTGGGGTGCCTCTTAATAGAGCTAGTCCTTCAATTTGGGGCTTCCTTTCACAGCATCCTTCTCACTGTGATGGCATGTTTGATGTTTGATCTAAGATGGTATTTTTTTTATCTAGCCATTAATAGAAATCAGCACCTGTAAATTTTATCTTGGTTTAATTTCCTCTTTTTTCTCCCTGGATGAGTATACTGCTTTCTTATATCTTTAGTTTGAAAGCTAGGACTAGGGGAAATAAGGATTCAAATTCAACGGTTAAATTTGGATGCCATTCAACCAATCTGTTCCATAGCTTAGCCCCGTGGTGGCGAACCTATGACACACGTGCCAGAGGCAGCATGCAGAGCCATCCCTGTGGGCACGTGCGCCATCACCCCAGGGGGAGGCAGGGCCAGGCTGCTTCCCTCCGCCTCTCCACGTATGCCAGTGCTCTCGCTCTCTTTTTCTCTGCACTGGGAGTCAGAGCAGCTGCAAGAGCTAGGCACATCCGGGCTGGATGGTGGAGGCAGCTGCCAGTGTGAGTCCAGGTATACCTGCAAAGCGATTTTTGCAGACCGCCAGCAGCCCAATCCAGGCTCTAGAGGCCTGGAAAAGACCTCTGCTGCTCGGATCTATGGCTGCAGAGCAATTTTGTGCCCACCCCACAGCCGATCTGGGTGGCAGAGGCCTCTTCCAAGCCTCCGGAACTTGGGTCCATGGCCGTGGGGTGATTTTGTGGTGCCCCAGTGGCCTGATCCAGGCTTTGGAGGCCTGGAACTTGTTCCACAGCTGCTTTTGGCTGATCTGCATTGCAGCAGCAGCATTGGGTGCAATACGCGAGGTGCAAACAACTGTGTCATGCAGAAACCAGCCATTTGCCGCTTCCTGCCCAATGTGGCTGCCATGAGGCTACAGAACAAGCCGGGTGACAGTAAGAAACTGGTATACCAGTTCCTTACCTTCACCCGGCTTGCTCTGCGGCCTCATGGCAGCGGTATTGGGTGTGATGCGCAAGGCGGCAAATGGCCACGGTCGGAGGCAAACAGCCACGAAGCGTGAGGTGGCAAATGGCTGTGGCCAGAGGCAAACAGCC